TCTGTTCATAATTACAGAGGGAGCTTGCTATTTTTAAGGCTGTTTTTAAAACATTTGAAAGTATTTGGTGAAATAATTTCTAAGGTTTTTTTTCTTTTCTTTAACTGACCCTTGAAAAGCTCTGGAAAACAAATACGCAGGAAAAAATGAAAATATGTTAAAATAAGGAATAAAGCAGTTACTGAAGTGTAATAATCCTGGTTTATAGCACACTTTCCATTTAAATTGTTTTTATTAGAGATAAACCTGTTAAGCGTTGAGGAATTAAGTGCTGAATGGAGAAGGTTGTTTCGCTGCTGTATAAATGAAGGATCCCAGTATGCAGAAAAAAGTACGGCTGGTTTTACAAGTGAATTATTTGCCAGTTTGAAGGGCTCTGGTTACTTTGGCGTCTGCTGTAAAAAAATGGTGATTTGTTTGTTGTCAAGAGGGATGCTATTTTTTTCAGAGGGGCAAGAGAGATTTTAGCACTGGGGTTTGTAGGTACTATGGGCTTTCTCATCGTCCTTACGCCTGGTTTGTTAGAAGGAGCTCAAGGAGAAAACGAGGCAGAGGGATTTTTGGGAATTTCTTGGCACCGCTGTTGATACACAGACTTCTGGCTTGCCGTCGCATGCGGCGCTTTGGGACAATATTGAGAGGGAGCAGCCTGCAACTCCAAGTATCAAAAGTCAGTAATGGTGTGAAACTCTCCTCATTTGGGAGGGCTGGGGGAGAGAAAAATTCAATATATCGCTAAGTCTCAGCATCTCCTTTCAGACAGCTGGTCCTGGAAAATTTCATTCAAAGACTGCAAATTGGAGGTCCCCGCAATCGCTCTTACGATTCTTGAGCAAAGGTGACTTTGGAAATTCGTGACAGCGGAGGAAGGTCTTGTTTTATTCACTCAACAGAAGTGAAATACAAGGGGAAGGGAGAAAGAACAGATCTGTGCAGAAAATGTCACTCGGGCTGTAACCTGAGCCTTAGCGAGCTGTGCCTTTTGGAGGGTTTGGTGACCCTCCGAAAATCCTTGCTCTCTGGCTGCTATTATTGTAGCCAATTTCCAACTAAAATAAGTCTTTTGTCATCACCAGCCATGCCGCCTCTCGCTGAGAAGAAACAAAACTTGTGCGTGGCAGCGAGGGCAGCCAAGCTGAAGGTCAGAGTGCAGAGGCGGATTGCTGCATCCCCGGGGCCGGGGCTGGATCTCACCCGTGGGGCCGGTGATGCACCAACCGGGGAGACTGACAGTGACCTCTGGAGACAGAGCCTGGGCGAGAAGCCTAAGAGAAAACATCCTAGTAAAATCCAAATTGGAGAAAAGAGGGTTTCCTCCTCCTCTTTAGGGTTATGCAGGTGGAATAGCTGTTTTTTTCTTGCTTTTTGGGACACGGTGGAAAGCGCAATCTCATGTATCCAAAAGGGCAAGGAAAAGCTAGCTTGAAAAAAATAATAAATACTTTAAACTTCTGTGTTTGCCCAACTGTTCAAATGTTTCCTCCATGCCAGATCCTTCCCCTTGAAAAAAAAAAAAGGAAAAAAAAAAGCAACCCAAAGCATTGTTTTGCAGAGTTCTCAGCTCCCCGCGGGCAGGGAGATGGGTACAACTTGTACACTGAGGGATCTCATGTTGTTTGTGCCACTATTGATTTTGCTCTTTCGGGGAAAAAAACCCAAACCAACAAACCCCTTCCACATCGGAACAAAGGTACCAACGCATAGAGCACTGGTATGGGGAAAAATACTTTATGCAAGTCTTTGAGCCTGTGCGGGTCTTTACTCACACGAGTAAGGTTATGTGGCTGTCTTAATCATTAACTTAATTTTTATGCAGAGTTGTATTTTGACAATACTCCATTTGAGAAGCACTTAATACGCAAATAGCTTTTTTAGGTCCTGATTCCTCTGAACTTTTAAAAATTAGAGTGATTTGGGATTTCTTTGTCTTAAGATAGGTGAATGTGAACATATGGGAAAAGGGGCAGTGAGGTTTTTCCTGTTGGCTTTTCTGTTCCATCGTTTTTGCTGGTGTTACGTCAGCCTGGCGCTTTGGAAATTCAAAGAGTGATCAAAAGATCTTGGCCGTTCTATCAAAGAAAAAACCAGGGAGTATGAAGAAATTATCCCCGTGCCTGTATATTTCTGCAGCTACAGATAATTAGCAATTTTGCTTGCAAAGAGTTCTCAAATGTGATTTATAAACGTAACAGCGCTGCATTGTGCTCTCTCAAGGCAAGCCACATTAGTAGTTTTAATCTGATGGGTTCTTACGAATTCCAGGTTTGGGATGCAGGAAGAAACTTGAAAGTGAATACTTTCTTCTTTTTTTTTAATGCATAGTGGTTTGGAGTCTACTATAATGCAAAGTAAAGCGTTCTGTTACAAAGGCAGGGAGGATGGGACAGAAGGTTAAAGGGCATCCTGGAAACAAACAGCTGGACCAGTTTATTTAAACAGATACAAGGATGGGGAGCTGACCTCCGTTTGACTTCTAGTGGGAGGAGCGAGAATGTCATTTTATTACTTTGCCCAGAAGGAAAATGTTCTTGCGTCTGAATTCCCCCTGAAGAGATCCAAACACTGGGCTGTTTGGCAGAATTGCTACTTATAGAAAATACTTACACAAATGCGTAGGAAGAAGATAACTGTTAAGTACCTGTGTGTAAAATGTTCTTAGAGCAGATATCCCGAGCGATAGCGTGGGGCAAACAGGTGAGAATATGTTTTACTCTAGGCACGTCTTGTGGATAATTATTGGTAAATTCTAGCTATGTAGTTTATTATTCTAGCTATATAGTTTACTAATGAGCCCCCCCTTCTTACTAAAAGCGCTTGCAGTTTGGAGGAGGAGGAAGAGACGGTTGTGAGTTTGGGGCGTGCATGCTTATTGTTGCTCAGGGTTTCTTTGGGGTAAAAGCTTTTGGCAAATGAAGGTTTCCGTGACCAGCCAATCTCACGGCTACCAAAAACCCTCCCCTCCTGCCGCAGTAACAGGTCCTGGCAGTCGGGCAGGAGGAGGATGGAGTAAACACAGCAAGAGCCTGCCAGGCTTGCAGAAGGAAATGGCTGGGACACTGGGGTTTTGTGTTGTTGTTTTACTTAGGAGAGTTACTGTGAAAATTGCTTTCTGCAAATGCAGATTACAGATAATAAACAATTTTCTAATTGGTCATGGCGCTAAGGCAGCTAATGGGGGAAAAAAAGCAGATTTTTTTTAATTGCTTATTTCGCATGGTGTTTGTGCTACACCTGTGCTTATAATGAGAAAGGAGAATTAGTCTAACCTTCTGCTCACATGATTCTAATTTTCATGGTTTGTACAAGATAATGATAAACTGATTTGCAACACCGTTTGCTGGAGGTGGCGGGGGGGGGGGTATTGGAAATGTGTAGAAAAACTGATCCAATACTGTTGCTGACAAAACATGACCTAGTTCAGGTGTAAGGTTTCCAGATCAGCACCCGGAATTGGTGCCTTTGAGCCCATTTTGTTGAGACAGGTTTGATTAGGACTCAACATCTTGATTAATTTTTGCGGGAGTTTGGGTAATGGGAGTCAGTCGGGAACGGGAGATAGGAGGAGACCGAAATCACTGTGCTGGCCTTTGATGAGGGCAAAACAAACAGCACGGGGCGGTGGTTTGCAATTCCTCTCCCCGCCGGTGTAGGGGAATGGGTGGGAAGAGCTGCTTCCCGCGGGAAGGTCCTGGTGGCTTTATCTCTGTGGTGGGAGAGCTCCTGCTAAGCCACCCCCAGCAAAGGCAACAAAAGCAAGCACCAAGTAGCCCTTTGTGGACTTTCCCATTGCGTTTTGCAAGTGTAGTGTGGTTTTATCCACGCTCACGCTTCTTCCTTTACTAGTAAATATTGTGGCATACACGTTTTTATTATTCTTTTTCTCTCTCGTAAAGAATGTAAAGCCTGGTTATAAGGCTTTGCCGTGATTAAATCTCGATGGAGATGTTTTCCAAATGGTTTTTAACTAAGCTTTCTGATGAGCGAAACCGCAAGAGAAGTTCTAACGCTCTTCAGACAGGTTCCCAGCCACGGTTTTGAGCCTCCTGATTTCAGTGCCACGAGGACTGCCCGCAGAGGAGACCGGGGCACTTGTGACCTTCTTCTGTTTTGCTCCGAATTATTTTGAATATTCCTTTCCCAAATAAGCATTGCAAGACTAACTGAGGCGAAAAGCTACAAAAACGCAAGGAGTACGGTTGCAGATGGCTGTTTTTAAAAACGACCGTACCTTTTTTTTATTTCCAAAGATCTGCTTTTCATTGTTCGGGGGGAATTTTCAGTAGTCCAGTAATTACAGTTTAACAAGATGTTTGCTGTAAATGGTCAGGCCTAGCTGGAGAAAACAGGATTATAAATTCAATTACTGTAAAGCTATGACCTCGCCTTGACCCCTCAGACTTTGCATAAAGGGGGGGGGGGAACCCACCAAGAAATGGCTAGGAGGAATGCACGGCTCTGAAGTCCCCAGCAGTGTGACTTAGCGGTGATAAAACTCCAGACGCTCCCTCATTTGATGGGGTTCTGCCATCACAGTTCATTATCTTAATAGTGGGCATTAAAAGGGAATTAGGTTTGCCAGAGGTAGGGGCAGGTTTTGATAAAAAAAATTGGAAAAAGAAGTCAGAGGACATAAGGCAGAAATGGCACTAATGAGGGGGAGGTAGCAGATGCCCTCACGAGCATCTCGACGGCTTCACCCGTTTTTTTTGTGCCCTGTTCTGAATTGAGAAGAGCGTTGCCGGTATTGTTTCCTGAAAACTCGGCTAATTCCCCCATGAAAAGATGAAATGGAAGTGTCCAACTGTGGTAAAAAGCAGGCAAACATAAATCAGCTCGGAAACCCTGAGCTCGTACTCTCAAAGGTCATCGGGGTTAGAGGTTTTGCAGTATTTGCATCCGCACGCAGCCCGACGGAGAGCACCGCGGCGGGGCGAGAGGGCTTGGGGATGTGTGGAAGTCGTCCCTTCCATAACCGTTTGCTTTCCTCTTTTTTGTTGCAGGTTTATTAATGCTAGAAGAAGAATAGTTCAGCCCATGATAGACCAGTCCAATCGAGCAGGCAAGTCCCCAATAGTAACTGTATTCAAGTCACGCAGGCGAAAACCATCCTCAAGCCATTCACCGGGAGGTCCATTACCTGGTAAATAAATGAGAAATGAATGCTGGGAGTGATTGACAATTAAAATACAACCAGCTTTGTTTCATTACAACCCTAATCATTTTAACATGATTAAAATATTCAGGGGAAAAAAAAGACATTGAAAATTCAAAAAAAGAAACTAAAATGATCTGCTCCGTGACCGGACTTTCCGTACACGTTTGGAATTAAAGTTATTTCTGGGTTTTTTGGTAGTTGTTTTGAGTTTTCCTTCCCAGCTCCTTCTGCTCTTGTGACCACTCCCTGGTGCATGGCTTGGTGTGGAATTGCTGTAAACTTTATTACCTGTCAAAAGGGCAAAGGGGTCAGAATCGCTTGTGGGACTCAGTAAAGTTCAAAGACATTCAATGAGGTAGAGCTTTATGTGCTTTAATAACCCAAGGCAGCTTACTTCTGAAGCCAGCTTTTAATGTACAGTTAAAACCTCGAGTTCAGGCCGTGGTACTTGGTCCTTTTGTCCCTCGTCTCTTCTTTTTAGTAGCTGTCTTTTGGGATCGCTGATGTAGAGTTAAAACCTCGAGTTCAGGCCGTGGTACTTGGTCCTTTTGTCCCTCGTCTCTTCTTTTGTAGCTGTCTTTTGGGATCGCTGCGTGTTTGGGGTTTACTCTTGGGGGGGGGGGATTTATTTTTTTTTTATTTTAAAATCTCAAGATTTCCCGTGCCGGTTCTGTCTGGGGTCTTGGCTCGCAGCTCTGTGTGGGTATTTACCATCGAGGAATAGCCTATTATTCCCAGTTGGTTTTGTTTTCTGAGTCTCGCTGCCAAACTATCCAAATCCATCGTTGTCCAAGATGCCTTTGGGCCACGCTTCCTCTTCGAGTACATTCGATTATTTTGTCATTAGAGGTAAATATCTGGCACAGACGTGTTCAGGTCCTGCTCTTAGAAAGGCACACGGGCGTAATTTAACACACTGCGATTTCAGTGTGACTATTCCAGCCATAAAATCCGGCTTCTATACAGGTCTTTGCATTGACGGCAGCAGCGGGAGCAGCTGGAGCCGAGGCTCCTCATGTCTCGCGATTTCGGATCGCTAACTTCATTTCCAAACTCACAGTAGGAAATTAAGCCAAAACTAAGCAAGCTTGTTAGCCCGGCCGCTAAATTCGAACAGTAGATGTTTTTCCCTCTTTATAGAGCCAGCATCGATAGCCGTCTCACGCAGTCCGTGGGTGGGGGGGTTGTGTCTTGACACCGTGAGAAGAGGCGACCCTTTTGGCTGTCGCTAAAAAGCAATGTTCTGCGCTTTTCCAGTAAGTCAAGGAACACCCTATAACCCCGACGGGCAGCCGATGGGAGGTTTCGTGATGGACGGCCAGCAGCACATGGGCATCCGAGCGCCAGGTAAGCCCCCGGGGGAGCGTCGCCCACCGATGGTGACCTCGGTCGCGCCACCGCAGGTAACCGCACCTCCGCCCTCCGCCGTCGTCTCAGCTGCCTGCCTTGCCTCGCCTGTCTTCTGCCTGCCTTCAACACCGCCGAGGGAAACCAGGCATCTTCTCGCTCGAGTGGTCCTGGGCCCTCTGCCGTGCTGTGTTTTGGAAAGGGGCTTTTGGCACTATCTGTTGACTTTGCTCATTCTCTGGCATCTTCTTGGATTTTTATCTCCCTCTAGGACCTATGAGTGGAATGGGCATGAATATGGGCATGGAGGGGCAGTGGCACTACATGTAACCTTCACCTAGGTAACCAATGGCAAAGCCAGGGGGAAGTAAGTACAAACGGGGTCTTTGTTCTCACTTTGTCCGAGGGATATTTGTCTCCTTGCATTTCCCTATGTTCTCCCTGCCCATAGCCTCATGCTTGTTCCTTCCTTTCCATCCATCCATCCTACGCCTGGGCTCCTTCGGGTTTCTCTCCCTCCGGTTCAGCTCAAGCTTTCCAAGCTCCCAAACCCCCCCATGCGCGCGCGTGCGCGCCGTACATTGACGCCGCCGTACATCGACGCCGCCATACATTGATGCTATTATCCATCCCCGAGCACATGACAAAACAAGAAGCAGCCGGGGAGGTGGGGGAGCCCGTCGTCTTGGCAACAGACTGATTTGCAAAATGTAAGCGGTCTGCAGCAGCGCAGGGAGAGGAAAGAGCATGTCCCCAAAGTGTCATAAATCTGTCTAACCGCAGTTGATGCATGAGTTACATTTCTCCCGCTAACCTGCAAGACACCAAAAAAGCCAAACAGAGACTTCTTGTAGGTAAAAAAAAAAACAACAAAAAACCCGGTGGCTTCACTTAGTTGCGTTTTGGAAGGCAATGGATGAAACTTTGATTTTTATTTTTTTTTCCAAGTTTATTTCTCTTTGTCTGTCCGTCATAATGGGATTACGTGTGGCAAAGGAAAAAGAGAGAATACAAAATAGAGGTGTGCGCAGCAGGCTATGGAGCTTAGCCCAGGCTAATTGACTATATCCAAATTAAGTATGCCATCACTTGCAGTGTGACAAATGGATTTGACTTATTCAGTATACAAAAATAGAGATCATTAATGCAATCTTCAGTGGCAGGCCTCGCGAAGAAAGCCTAGAAAAACTGTCCCAGGTTTTTTTTTTTTCCCCCCTCTTGTCTTTTTGTAGGGGAAAATACTTTATACAAATTTTAGGTTGTTTTTTTTTTAAAAAGAGTAAAGCGGTTTGAAACACCGAGGCACCGGTACCATGTTTAAATGGTGCCCGATTCTGTTCCTTTCACTTTCTTTCTGGAGTTAAAAGCAGTTATTTCAGCATCTTTGTTGTGCCCCCAGCCTGTATTAACGTAGGGCTTGAAGTTACCCGGGCCAAGTGTATTTCATAGTCGTCTTCTCTGGGCGCGAGTCAAAACTAAGTTTTAACAATTAGCTGTGAAAACATTCCTCTGAGCTTGGGAATGCAACAGCCTTATTACCTCATCATGGAAATTTCTAGCTTAGTTAATTTAAATATTGTTTCTTAGTTTCTGGGTCAATTAAATTTAAATGATGTATTTTATGCTTCGTGACCAATTAAATTAATAGGTTATTACAAAAAATATTATCATCTTTTTTGATTAAAGAGCTGTGAGTACAGTATATTTTATAAGCAATTTTCATTAGTTCAAAACTGTTCCTTTAGGCTAGATTAAGCAGCTATTCATTGCTAGAGCCTTGAGACCTGATTCCAAGGTGTTCAGCGCATTCACAGCGCGCTCTTACTTAGAACTAAAGCCAATTGAACCTACTTAGCAATAGCGTATGCCTTTCACCCTTGATGATTATGGAGCTTATAGCTCTCCGAAACAATACACCTGTCAGTTCCCATCAGCTACAGCAATCCAAGCAGAAGGCAGAGGCCCACGGAAAGCAGGAGGTTTTATTGTTTTAGGTCCAATTTTTTTCTTATTGTTCTCCCAAACCCACTGAAAGGTTGACTGAGTTGCGCGTCTGATTTTTTCAGACAGAAGTGAGCAGGGGGAAAGAATTAATTGATAATTGTTATTGGTTATATATATATTTTTTAATGTGTTTAAAAATACAGGTTTGATTTAACAGTCGTCCTTAGTAATCCTATCAATTTCGGCTTCGCATGAGGCCTTTGTTCAGCGATGTATGTGCTTGCTGTATAGCGTCTGTTTGAATGGCACAGATACTTGGGACAAATTCCAAGTGATCGGGCTCGAGAGCTAGATAAATAACTGTTGATAAACCTCAACACCGATTTAACCCATCTCTCCTCCCAAGCCCCTCATTAACTACTACGGATTCCCCGCCTTGTATTCCCAGCACGCTTTTAGACGCAGGGAGATGATGGTGGGTAGCTGGAGCAAGGCCACGGGGGATGGAGCCCACCTGAGAGCCCTCGCAGGGCTTCCCCGGCTTGGTGCCACCACCAACCGTGTGACGTTAGTCATCATTGGGCTGGCTCTGCCTCTGGCACGCTTCCAGACCAGAAGCGTCTCCATCGCATACGTTCCTAACCGTAAAAGCAGAAAGTGGTTTTATCTCCCAAAACTCTGCATTTGGAGGGGGGGGGGAAGATGCTCTTGGGGGTTTTTTTGACCTGGGAATCATTCCCGTTGCCATCATTGTGAGTCCATACATAGGCTTGGATCCCACAAAGGCAACTGCACTCGCGCGCCCGTGACTCCACGTCCCACCTTTGGCTCGAGCCTGGCCTTCCCGTGCCCGAGCGAAGGAGCTTCACGGCCCGATGTCGGTAGCCCCCCCCCCCCCCCCCGCCTCTTTCTCTCCGCAGGGCTGCAAAGTATGCCAGGGGATTATGTGTCTCGGGGTAGTCCAATGGGTATGAATATGGGACAGCCAAGCTATACCCCACCCCAGATGCCCCCCCATCCCGCTCAGCTGCGTCATGGCCCCCCCATGCATACCTACATTCCTGGACACCCTCACCACCCAGCGATGATGATGCATGGAGGACCACCCCACCCTGGAATGCCCATGTCAGCATCAAGCCCCACAATGCTTCATACCGGCGAGCCGGCAGTGAGCGGACAAGTGATGGACATTGATGCTCAGTAGCTTAAGGGAAATACACGTTGTCTGCAGCGACGGTAGATTTCAAACATTGTCTTTCTGCAATGACTATGGAGTTCTTGGCGTCAACTTTGGACCAAGGGACGTTCCGATTCTTCACAGGGACCCTGAAAAGCAGGAAAACACCAACCGAAGTCAACTTCTGGGGACATGCTAAATACCTATATAAGACATTAAGAGAACAAAGAGTGAAATATTGTAAAATGCTATTATACTGTTATCCATATTACGTTGTTTCTTATAGATTTTTTAAAAAAAATGTGAAATTTTTCCACACTATGTGTGTTGTTTCCATAGCTCTTCACTTCCTCCAGAAGCCTCCTTACATTAAAAAAAGAAGCCTTACACTTTTCCTGCAAATGACAGAAAGGGCTTATTTGCAGGATTTTTAGAGCATTAAAATAACTATGTCAGGCAGAAGAATCTTTCTTCTATCCTAGGATTTCAGCCATGCACACTCTCTCTCTCTCTCCTCTCTCTCCTCCTCCCTCTCTGTCTGTCTTTCTTCCCTTTCTCTCCCTTTCTCCCCCTCTCTCCCTCTCTCTCTTTCTAGCCTGGGGCGTGAATTTGCATGTCTAATTCATTTACTCACCATATTTGAATTGGCCTGAACAGATGTAAATCGGGAAGGATGGGAAAAACTGCAGTCATCAACAATGATTAATCAGCTGTTGCAGGCAGTGTCTTAAGGAGACTGGTAGGAGGAAGCATGGAAACGGAAAGGCAGTGTATTTGAAGCCTAATTGTCACATCAGAGCATCCTTGTCCCCATGCAGCAACCACCACCTTGTACATCACTTCCTGTTTTATGCAGCTCGAAACATGGACTGAAGATTTATTTTTAATATGTTGACTTTCTTTCTGGGCAAGACATCAGTCATGTGTGCATTTTTTTTTTTTCCATAGTCCCATCATGGAGCATTTATGTATACATTGTAAATAAATTTTGTGCAAAAAGGACTGGAAAAATGATCTGTATTATTGCAATTTTTTGTAAAAGTAGCAGTTTGGTATGAGTTGGCATGCATACAGATTTACTAAGTGGGATAAGCTAATTATACTTTTGTTGTGGTTAAACAAATGCTTGTTGATAGCCTTTTTCTATCAAGAAACCAAGGAGCTAATTATTATTAATAATAATCATTGCACACTGAGTCTTAGAGTTTCTGATTGAAACAGTTTGGATTGTATAATAACTCAAAGCCCAGTTGTAGTAGTTTGAGTGCAGTAATGAAATCTGAATCTAAAATAAAAACAAATTATTTTTTGTCATGGTGACTCCACTGCTTGCAAAATTTGTTTCCTGCCCCCCCCCTTCAGTATTTGTAGCCATTCTATCCCAAATTGGGAGCCGAGCAGCTACAAAACTCAGCTAGCTCCAGAGATGTACCTATCATTTGCTATTTAAAGAATGTAAAAGTAGTGCTACGCTGCGTAAAGAAACTTTCTCGGAACTTGCACTGTAAATTGTCAGGATGGGAACTGTTGCCTGTTAATAAATGTAATATCGGAGGGCATTATCGGACAAAAATTTTTAAAAAGTATTACCCCCCCCCCCCCCCCCGCCAAATTACAGTTCTAATACGCAGTTTAAATTATTTGAGCCACTGACCTACTACGTTTCTTTCTGGAACTGAACATATAAAGGGAAGAGGAAAATAAAACTTGGAAAACGTCGCCCGGGCAATGCATATTTGTAAGTAAACGACGTGCTGGTGCGAGGGGCTGCTGGCCCTCTGCGAGGGGAGGCTGGTGCAGGCCGTCCTCTCCTCGTTAACCAATTTCCTCGCACAGCTGTACTTTCTGCACCGCAGCCAGCGAGTTAAACGGCACCGAACAGCCTGGGTAGGCTGCGCTACCTTCTCGCCGCCTTTTAATAA